TTCCCACGTTCACTAAATTATAAGAAAATAGACTTAAGATGAGGGTGGTGATGGGCAAGTGGACATAAGGGCAGCTCATTGCTACCAAAAAAAAGAAAAATTCTGAGAAAATACCATTAACGCTGTTGTTGGTTATCGTCGTGTGGTAGGAAATCTTAATTCTTCTTGCAATTGAGTCTTTGCAAAGACCCTAATTTTTATAATTTAGAATTCTTTTTTTTTTTTTTTTTTTTTGAGACAGAGCCTCAATCTGTCACTCTGGGTAGAGTGCCATGTGATCACAGCTCACAGCAACCTCCAACTCCTGGGCTTAAGCGAGTCTCCTGCCTCAGCCTCCCAAGTAGCTGGGACCACAGACGCCCGCCACAACGCCTGGCTATTTTTTAGTTGCAGCTGTCGTCGTTTGGAAGGCCCGGGCTGGATTCGAACCTGCCACCTTAGGTGTATGTGGCTGGTGCCTTAGCCACTTGAGCCACAGGCGCCGAGCCAATTTAGAATTCTTAAAATTGAAAATCACTAATTGGAGAAAGTTGTGGAGCTTTTGTTTCATTTCCTAAATCACTTGGAGGGACTTGAACATTAAGATACTAAAGAAGGTGCTGAGCAGCAGCTCATACCTATAATCCTAGCACTCTTGAGGCCCAGGTGGGTGGGTCACTTGAGCTCAGGAGTTCAAGACCAGCATGAGCAAGACTGAGACCTCTGTCTCTAAAAATAGCTGGGCATTGTGGCAGGCACCTGTACTCCCAGCTACTCAGGAGACAAAGGCAAGAGGATTGCTCAAGCCTGAGAGTTTGAGGTTGCTGTGAGCTATGACGCCACATCACTCTACCCCGGGTGACAAAACAAGGTTCTTTCTCAAAAAGAAACTGAAGAAAAAGAGCCAGAAGGGAGGGAAACATTGTAGGTACATGAAAGAGAGGACAGTGATGGAAGTAGGGTCCAGAGAAGGGCTGGCTATGGTGATTCACACCTGTAATCCTACCTAGAAACCCGAGCTAGGGGAATTGCTTGAGGCCTGGGGTTCAAGACCAGCTTGAGCAATGTAGTGAGACCCCCCTCTCACCATAAAAAATTCAGCCAGATGGTAGCCTGTGCTTGTAGTCCTAGTTACTGGGGAGGCTGAGGCAGGAAGATTGCTTGAGCTTGAGGTTACAGTGAGCTGTGAAGATACCACTGCACTCTATCCTAGATTGATGGACCAAAATCCAGTCTCACCCCCACACTCCCCCCAAAATGAGATGGAACACCCATGGAGAGATTAGCTTTCAGTGGAATGAAAGAACAATGTTTGCAGATGCAGGTAGGTTTACAGGAAGGGTTTTAGGGATGGAGAGTGACATCATGGTCACACTTGTTTTGTATAACTTCATTGTGTCTTTCTCCAAATCTTATTTCTCCAATGCTTAGCTTACATCCTATTGGCAAGAGTCGGGGGGGGGCTGCCCCCCACTGGAATGCAGTGGTACAGTTATAGCTGCTGTAACCTTAAATTTGGGGACTTAACTGATCCTCCTCTGTCAGGATCAGAGGAGCTGGGACTACAGATGTGTGCTACCACTCTTGGCTAATTTTTTATTTTTATTTTTTGTAGAAACAAGGTCCCCTTATGTTGCCCAGGTCTCAAACCGTTGTTTTTAAACTCCTGGCCTCAAGTGATCTTGCTTTGGCCTCCCAAAGTGCTAGAATTACAGGTGCAAGACAGTGTGCCTAGCCTACATCCTACTTTCTGTACAATCCTTTCTCGATGGCCTGAGCCTTTGCTTTCTTCCTTTTTCAACTTACAGTTATTGTTTTGTAGATATGTGTGCTTTGTCACTACCTGTGACTCATGTTTGTGTGAATGGTAACCCTAACATGGCTAATAACTCTCTCTTCATGTCCAGGAAGAGATATTAATACTTAAATTCCCACTGGATCACCTGTGGAAACATGAGGTGTGCCATCTTTTCCGTAGGCCCTGGATCACATCTCTTACTTCCTTCTGAAAGACCCCATTATTTATTATTGACTCTCCTTTCTTACCGTCTCTTTACTTTTTGGGTCATTCCCTCCAGCAGTGAACATCTTTGTT